GGTGCCCTTCATGGCTGGGGTGTCACCCTGGGCTGACCTCCACTCCCAGTGCTGCGCCAGCGGCACCAGTCGGTATCTGTCTGCAGTGCCCGAGGCAGCAGCCCAGGGAAGGCTCCCAGGTCCAAGGTATGAAAGGAAAACAGGACCTCAGGACCCAACCTCAGTAAGCCACAGGCAGGACTCGGGCTGGAACCGGGCCACACGTCCTGCCCTCCATTCTCTCCCTGTGTAGAAAGCTACACGCTTCCGGGAGTCGCCGCTCTGCTCACCGCCGGCAAAGGCACGCCTGATGGCTTCTGTGCCCTGCGCTGTGTCCTATGTGAGGCCTGAGGCCTGAGGGATTCTTCCTCTCCCACCACGTGTAACGCACGGGTTCCCTGAACGCTGAGCTAACACCGCCTGCCTCTTATCTGCCCCCCCCCCCGGCTTCTTTCTTCCCCGAATACGCTCCATTTATCCTTTAAATTTAAGTTTTCAGCCTTCTTTCGGAAGAAAAGCCGGGACCACAGAGGTTTCCCGTAACCTCGGCAAACCGCTCAAGTGACTGAGACCTGAGTCGCTGTCTATGTCCCCCACGCAGGAGCCTGGGCTGTCCAAGAATCCCTGGGTCAGGTCGAGGGAGCTGCGCAAGATGTGGTCTCAACAGGCAGAGGACAGAGGTGGCCCACTCAGCGCCACGCATGAGGGGAGGACCCTCCACAGTGCACTCAGCACCACGCATGAGGGGAGGACCCTCCACAGTGCACTCAGCGCCACGCATGAGGGGAGGACCCTCCACAGTGCACTCAGCACCAGGCATGAGGGGAGGACCCTCCACAGTGCACTCAGCACCACGCATGAGGGGAGGACCCTCCACAGTGCACTCAGCACCAGGCATGAGGGGAGGACCCTCCACAGTGCACTCAGCACCAGGCATGAGGGGAGGACCGTCCCCACTCACCCTCAGGGTCCCTCAGGTGCCTCTGCCCGACTCCAGCCAACACCTGGTGAGGCCTCCGACATTCACAGATCCCCAGCAAACCTGTGTGGATTCAGCCACAACCAGCCCCGCACCCAGGCCTGAGCACGTGGCCCTCCCCTTGGCACTGCCCTCCTGATGCGTGTTCAGACCACAGGAGAGGCATGAGAAAGCCTCGCCTGAGGGGTATCCAGCCTCGCCCACCGACAGAGGCCTGGGAGCTTTGCAGGAGAGGCAACCATGAACCCAAGGTCCACGAGGCAAAGGCCTCCTCACACCGGAGGCCCATGAGCCAGGAGCAGGTTCAGACCCGAACACGAGGCCACGCCAGGAGGAGGAGCCCCTGGCCACCCACTGGACAGGCCTAGCCCAGGGGGAAGGAACGGACGTCTCACACCCAATGCTGCCCCACCCTTTGCTGCAGAGGAAGCCCCAGCCCCTCTCTAACTGCCACAGCATGCAAACACTCACATGTGCACACACACACGAGCATGCCTACAGATGTGCAGGAGCAGTGTACACGTGTGTGTATGCACACACGTGTACACAGTACAACACCCATGTGCCGACACGGTGCCGGCACGCACACGCAGCTCACGCACAGACACGGTATACACCTGCACACTCCCCAGGCACACACATGCCTGCACACCTGCGCCCAGCCAGCTGACTTAAAGCTCCAGGCTTTATCACGAGGCTGCTAAGGACAGCCTCGGCCTGGAGACAGCCTGGGAACCCGTCCGGCATGGGAGGAAGCGCCGGCCGGGCCTGGACGCCCAGTAGCCACCGCATATCCTGTATCTTTCCTTTCCTTTGGTTTTAAAAAGGGAACTTCACAAAAAGCTCGCCTTGTAGCCTCCCTGCCCGCCCACCACCTATCCTTGACCGTTCACACCCGCAGGGCAGGGCCCAGTCGTAGGGTCAATGCCCCCACAGCCCCTCCTGCTCCGACTGCCTCTGTGCAGTGTTGGGGCACCCTCCCGAAATCCGGGGACAGTGAGAGCTGCCACTTCCCGTCCCTACTCCGCAGGGCAGAGCCTGAACGCCCTCTCTGATGCACGATCCCTCGAGTCCCCACAACCCAAAGAGGGCCCCAGATCAGTGTGGTTGCCGTGCCCTGCCTCCCTGTTCCTGAGGGCAGCAGAGTGGGGCACCCAGCACCCAACAGGCAAGGGTGGTCCAGCACGGCTTCCAACACAGGCAAGGGAGGCAGCTGGAGCAAGAGGAACGGGCAGCCGCTGACCCCACTGCCAGGCCTCCGTCAGCAGCCACCGGCAGGAGGAGGCAAAACCACTCCTGGACAACCGCCCGAGCCAGGAAGAAGCTCCCAGCAAACCTGGGAGAGCCCCAGCTGAGGGGAGGAATCTGGGAGCCCTGGATGAGTGGAAGTCCCTCCTAGAGAGTGGGTGGCCACAACCTGTGGGGTCTTGCCAGAGGCTCTGCACACCCCACCTTCCAGAGAGGCCAGGGCACCAGCCAGCCCACCCTCCCTGGCCCTTCCCACTCCTCCTGGGGTCTCCACTGTCCCAAGGCCCCTGGACACCCCCCGGAAGCCCTGGGAAGGAGTGAGTCTACCCTGACATGGTCACGGAGGAAGGGTGGGCTCCCCCAAGTCAGTTACACAACCCACCCTACCCTTAAGTCAGACAGGATACAGCCTGGCCCCAGCAATGTCCTCCCACCTCCTATGCACAAAAAAACCACCCCACTGAGAAAGTCACATGTCCTCCTCACTTCAAGACCAGGTATTTCACATAAAAGTAAAATCAGGAATAAAAGCTCCATCCGAAGAAGTCCTGAGGGACAGTGCCCATCCTGGGGACAGGAGGCCTCCCGCAGAGGCTCTGCCAGAGGCAGGGGGAAGCTGCAGGGGTATGGGACAGGGAGTCCATGGGGCCAGGCTGGGCACACACAGCCTTGCCAGACTCTGGGTCGAGCCAGAGCCCCTCCTCCCCCAGGACTCCCCAACCCGGACTCGGGACATGGAGTTCCCTGCTTCTCAAGCTAGGTGGCTCAGGAAACCCTCTCCACGCCCACCTGGCACTGCCAGGAGCAGCCCACCAGGCCCCTAAACTCGCTTTGCTGTCATCCAGGTGCCAGCCAGAAACCCCAGTGCCTCCACCGACTGTTCAGGGGAACTGTAATGGAATCAGGAAGAGCTTTGGTGATGGTGACTCCCGTGCCGACAGGTTTGGACCCGGCCTGCGACCTTGTGGCGTGGACCCCGGGCAGCAAGCCTGCAGAGGGGCTCTGGCTTCTGCAGGACCCAACCCCACAACCAGCAAAAAGTTAAGCCTGCACCTTTTTCTCCAGGCCCGGCCCAGCCTGAGGCTGGAGCCCAGTGCCCGTCACGGGACTCCTCGGCCCACCTGTGGGCTGAAGATCAGGACTCGATCGTGTGGATTCCAAAGGGCAGCTGCACGCCCCTCACAGCCGGACAGTGGCTGAGCACCCGGCCCCCTCTGCGGGAGCAGCAAGTGTGTCCAGCACAAAAACCCCAGGTGCCAAGTTCTCTGCCAGGTCAGCTCATGCCATGGAGCGCCTTAGAGTGTGCAGAAGCCACATCCGGCCCATGCCCTCTAGGTCCCGATTTCACAAAGGCCGGCGAGCCTCCTGACGCCCGCAGCGGGACCTGATTGCTCAGGCAGCAAGATGGGCAGCTCGGCAGGGCCACCGCCTGCCCAGGGCACCGCTGCACAGCCCTTGACAGCAGGACAAGAAAACCCACAAGCACAAAGTTACCTGTGGCGTAAAAGCAATTGGCACTTAAAGTCTAGAGAGGAAAGCAAACGTGGCCAGCCTGGAAGAGGGGCCACCCTGTCGGGAAGACGCTCCTTCTGGGTGAGTTCTCAGCGCTGCTACTCTGCTCACCTCGAAAGACCCCGCCAGGGCCCACCCTCTGTCTGCTTCCTGCCTCAGGTGGTCACCGGAGAGAAGGGGCCTGGACTCACCGACCCTGCTCAGCACTCCACCTGGTGTTGAGCCTGGCCTCTGTGCAGAGGAAGCTGAGACCACCGTCACTCACTGTGGGAACTCTGATGACGCACCCCAGGCCAGTGCCTTCACAGTGGGACCAGACCCGTGTCCCTGGGCTTCAAAACTGCCTGGAGGGGACTTTCCAGCTGGGGATGGTGGGTTACCAAGGATCTGGGGTCTGGCACAGAACCTGTCCCTGGACTGACCTCACCTTCTTCCTTCCACGGCCAGGGAGAAGGGAAGCTGCCATCCACAGCCTCAGACCGGGGCACACCCGGGCACAGCCAGCACGGGGGTGGGGTCTAGACTGAGTCCCGCCACCTTCGAAGAGACTCCAGTTTCTGGAGTGGGCTGAGACCCCGGGAATAACTGGGATTGGAACCAGGATGGAGGGGACAGGACTGGGGGGATTCCCTCCTCAGCCCCGTCCCCACCCCCAGAGAAAGTGAAAGTGATAGAAACCTCCAGATTCCGGGGGGAGGGGACACAGAGGACGCGGCCTGAGTGAGGCCCCCGCGGCCGCCCCCTCCCCAGCCGCCAGACCCAGTCCTTCCTGTTCTGGCCCTGGGGGGCGGGTGGCTCCTCCAGGGTCAGGCGGGGGCAGGACAGGCCGGCCCGGGCTAGTCTGACCGTATGCAGGGGAAAGGCAAGCGCGGGGGGCGCAGGACGCCCCGGCTCCCGGCCCGCCCGGGTCTCCACCGCCGCCCGGGCTCCACCGGGGACCACCCAGGGGCCCCGGCTCCCCAGGGAGGCGCGCTCCGGCTCCTCCACGTCTCCTTGGCTACCGGCAGCGGCGTCCACCCTCCGCCCCCCGTCCCACCCGAGCTGCGGGTGGGTACCGCCCGGGGATACCGGGAGCCCGGGTAGGGCCCCTCGCCCCCAGCCCTGCCACGAACCGGGGTGGGGGGCCGAGAAGAACCTGCGTTGGGGCGCGAGGAGGGGCGCGTCCTGTACCCGCGGCGCCCGCCTCCCTCCCCTCCCCCCCGGACGCCCCTCTCCCGCCGCAGGGCCCGGACCCGCGCTCGGGGCGCTCGGCCTTTGTCCGGGCAGGTGGGGCCGCGCTCACCCGGGCTGGGGCGCTCGAGCTCCGGACCCTCGGGGGTGCCCGGCGCCTCCGTCCGCTCGGCCGCCTCGTCCCCGCCGCCGTCGGAGCGCGCCTCAACGGGCACCACGGTGAAGTTGGTGGGCATGGCCGCCGCAGAACGCACTCCCCGCCCGGCCCGGGCCGCGCTGCGCCGCTCCCGCCGACGCCGCGGGACTTGGGCGCAGGGGCGGGGTCCGACCGCCCCGCCCCGCCCCGCCCAGCCACGTGACCTCACCTGCTCGCCTAGGACCCCACGGAAAGCTGGCCCGCGGCGGGGCTGGGCCAGGCAGTTCCTGCAGCGACCCCCCAACCCAGGTTGCGCCCGCCCGACTGCCCCCGCCCGGGACGCGGGACCTTCGCTGCCCGCGCCCGGAACCTCCGCAGAGCCCGCGAATCCCCGCCCCGTCTCCTGCAGCCCTTCCTGCTCCGGCCCCCGGCCCCTCCTGCACCCCCTCCTGTTGTCCCCCTCCCGCCCCCCCGACACCCGCTCCTACTCCAACCCCCTGCTTCTCCACCCCTCCAGTTGGGCTCCTGCCCCTCCTGCACCCCTCCTCCTGGTCCACCCCACCCCTCCTGCTGCCCCCCCCCCGCCCCTTCTGACCCTCTTTCTCTCCTGTCCCTCCTCCTGCTGGGCCCCCACCTCCAGCACCCCCTCCTGCTTGGCCCCCTGCTCCCCTTAGTGCTCCAGCCTCCGGCCCTTCCCTCTCCTGCCCCCGCCATCCTCCAGCACCCACCTCCCACACAGTCCACCCACCCACTCTGGGCTGTCAACACCCGCTCAGACCCTGAGCTCCGGACCTGGCTGCTAAGGCATCTCAGGTGGAAGAAGACTTGGATAGCCTGGGGGTGGGGTCCTCTAGAGCTTGATCCAGCTCCAGGTTAGGGACCTAACCCAGTCGAGGGAGCCCCCACCCAAGACAGATGCTACCCACAAAGACCCCAGTCTCCTCCACACCTGCCCCGGAGTGCCCCTCGGCCCCTACCCTGGAACCCTCCCTTCCCTCTTTGGGAAATGTTCCAGCAGCGCACAGGGTGGAGCAGGGAACCCCGAGGGCATGCACCAAGATACCACCGGCCTGGTGCCTGCCAGCACCTGGCACATTTCTCAACAAATGACTCGTGAAAAATGGAGCAATCAGAAGTCCATCAGTGGGGAATTGGGCTAAAATGCTGTAGCACACAGGTGCAGTGAGTCAGCCTGTATTCATAATCATCGCAAACTGCTTTACAACAAAGCAGAAACACAGGTGTGTGTGCAAAGATGGCCACAGCCTCCCGTCATGTGGAAAATGAGCATGGCCTGGCCATGTTTTAGCAGTGTGCTGGTCTAATCCTACAAGGCAGCTCGAGGGGATGAGGCCTCTGGGCTGTGGGGTCACGGGGTTCTGTGGGGTCAAAGAAGGCAAGCCCAACCTCACCAGCCATTTCCAGTCAAGGCAGGCATGCCCTGGGTGGCCCAGGGTTTTACCCCTGCCCCGTGGGCTCTTCCAGGCAGAAGCTGGAGGCCTGGGCCCCTCTCGGAATGCCCCCCTTCCAGCACCAGCCCTATGTAGAGGTGGGGGCACCTCTGGCCTGAGGGCCACCAAAGGGAGCTCAGGGCTGTGGATGGTGCTAGGTCAGCTGCCTCCCTGGGTCAGTTGGACAGAAACTGGGAAACCGCCACCTCCCCAGAAGGTAAAATGGTTCCCGGGCATCCTTATGAGGAGGGCTGGCTTTGCTGAAAAGACTTGGGGGGGTGGGAACAGAAGTGCCCAAGGGGATCCACTATAGGGTTCACACTTAGGGTGCTGAGTGAACCCTCTCCTCAGTCACCCCGACAGGGGCTTCTGCACATTCAGCCCTGGTCGCCACCCAGCGCAATTGCCAGGGTTGGACAGAGCTCAGGGTGGGCACGGGGCCTCCCGAGGTGATGCCAAGCTGGCTGCGGACCCTCAGAGGGGCTGGTTTGGAGGGTCTGTGGGCAGGGCCGGCTCCCAGACTCAGGGCTCATCAGCTTCGTTTTACAGAGGAGGAAATCGAGAGGGGAGTTTAGAGTCCTGTGGCAGCTCCGAGGGTTGTCTTCTCAGCGATTAGAAAATCTTGGCTAGGACCTAGGGTGGTGGCTGAAGCTCCCTCTGGTTTAAATCTTAGATCCTGCTTAAGGGAGGCCTGGGGTGGGGTCGAGGTCTGCCTTGCGCATTTTAATTAGGTGAGTCATGACAGGAGCAGCACCCTGTAAGCACCTGCAGGTCAAGAGAGTTGCCAGAGCCCAGATGCTGCTGCAGGCCCCTCCCACCCATCAGGAACCCATCCCTGGGGGCCAGGCCCCTCCCATCCATCAGGAACCCGTCCCTGGGGGCCAGGCCCCTCCCATCCATCAGGAACCCGTCCCTGGGGGCCAGGCCCCTCCTACCCATCAGGAACCCAGCCCTGGGGGCCTGGTCGCTTCCTTCCTTTGCTCCGTGGGTGTCCCTGCCTGGGTACATCCTCCCACACGGCAGCCTGGGGTTAAATGTGCCTGCCTGATTCAATGCTATCTTCCTGCCCACCTCCAGCCCTCGGTCCTTTCTGCACATGGCACCTGTGGTAGGAACCCACCCTTGGACACGTGGAGGTGCCTGAGGCCTGGGTCAGGGTTGCATCTTTCTGTTCAGGCCGTCCAGCTCTCAGGCTCCTGGAAGTGGCCACTGGGGGCCAGGTGCCTCCTGGAATCCAGGTCCAGTCCCCTGGCAAGGCTGGGACTTGCTCTCAGAAGGAGCCTCTCGCTGCCTGGCGGGATCCGCCTGTCAGCAGTCATCGGTGCCTGATGTCTGAATTCTCAGCCCTGGCGGGAATCATGGGCAGGGAGCGTGCAGGGTGCCACAGGCAGTCGGAGCCTCTCCTTGAGGCAGACAGATGCATGGAGCTTGCAAAATAGTGATTTTCTAGTGCATCGTGGGTTGTCATGAATTCACTGGGGGCAGAGGCTCATCCTGTCCATCTGGCCGTCCGGTAATGGCGCCCACAGGAAAGGCAGGGCAAGGGCACCTCTCCCTCACTCGTCCGTTTTCACGATGGTGAATTGGTTCCGGACGATCTCCAGTGTATTTACACATCGCTGATGAAACAGGTTGGTGGGTCTCCATCAATCACTAGTGTCCTTTCCAAACACCGGTGTCCAGCCTTGCCCAGCACAGCATCTTCAAATGCAGCCTCCCAGCCGTAGATGTGAGCCTGGTCAGCTGCCGTGTGCAGGGCGCAGCTGAGGAACCCAGGAAGTTAGTGCACAACTGTGGCCGATGGTGGTTAGATTCCGTGTGTAGATTCTCAGAACAGTTCCTGCTGCCTGTCACCCTGCGGTGGAGTTTCTAATTGATTAGATCGGACACTCGTGCCCACGGCTTGGAATAGAATAGGGGTTGTGGCCTGGGAAGGCTCTCACCACCACCAGGCGCAGGCCGCCTCCCAGAGTCTGTGTGCCTCTGCACACGCAGCCTCTCCGCTGGTCCGCGGGTCCCCCCAGCCCTCTGTGTGCCTCTGCACACGCGGCTTCTCCCAAGGTCCACGCGTCTCCCCAGCCCTCTGGGTGCCTCTAACACACAACTTCTCCGCAGGTCCGCGGGTCCCCCCAGCCCTCTGTGTGCCTCTAACACGCAGCTTCTCCACAGGTCCGCAGGTTCCCCCAGCCCTCTGTGTGCCTCTGCACACGCAGCCTCTCCGCAGGTCCGAGGGTCCCCAGGCCTCTGTCTGCCTCTGCACACGCAGCTTCTCCCAAGGTCCACGCGTCTCCCCAGCCCTCTGGGTGCCTCTAACACGCAGCTTCTCCGCAGGTCTGCGGCACCCCAGCCCTCTGGGTGCCTCTAACACACAACTTCTCCGCAGGTCCGCGGGTCCCCCCAGCCCTCTGTGTGCCTCTAACACGCAGCTTCTCCACAGGTCCGCAGGTTCCCCCAGCCCTCTGTGTACCTCTGACACGCAGCTTCTCCCGAGTCCGCGGGTCCCCCCAGCCTTCTGTGTTCCTCTGACACGCAGCTTCTCCCCAGATCCGCGGGTCCCCCAGCCCTCTGGGTGCCTCTGACACGCAGCTTCTCCCCAGGTCTGCGGGTCCACCCAGTCCACTCTGCTTTCCTGTCAGGGCGGGGGCTCGTCTCCTACTGCCCTGTCAGGCTGGGAATCTGCTGTCGGGCACCAGGCCAGGTGCACCTCCAGGGCTGAAAGAGCATGGGGGGCCGGCCGGCTGAGAGTCGGTGGAGAGCTCTGTGTCCAGGGAAGGGGACAGCTGGAGGAGGCTGGCCCAGGAGGCCCAACACTTCTTCTCACCAGAAAGCCACCCACCTTCTGCCTGGGAGGGCTGGGCACCCACCCAGGTGCTTGCCTGTTGGCCTGGCACCTGTGGTAGGTGGGGGTTGAGAGGGACTAGGGCAGAGGATAAAGAGGGGAGGAAGGAGATGCAGGGGAATGAGGGAGGCAAAGAAAATAGGTCGGTAGAAAGGGAGGGGGAGAAGCGGGCAGGGGAGGGGGAAGGAGGGGGAAGGGAGGCCCCCGTTATCCAAGGCTGAAGTTATTTTTAAAAAACACCTTTTTTTTCTTAAGTGTGGTGAGGCAGCAGGGTGGGGTATGTGGACACTAGTGGGAAAAGCAGAGGCTCCAACTGCCTGTGGCACCGGCATGCTCCCTGCCCATGATTCCCGCCAGGGCCGAGAAGTCTGCCCATGGCCAGGGTGACCCTAAAGCCCCACATCTGCTACCACCTGTGGGCGTCTGAAGGGAGCTGCAGCAGGCAGGGACAACAGCAGACCACAGCCCCTGCCCCCGGCACACCACATCTCCCCAGAAGGTTTCTACACACAATGCCTGGCCCTTCCCAGGCAGGTTTGGCTAGGTGCCCCCGCCCTCTGCACCCCGACTCGCTCAGGGGGTCTGTCTGCACAGTGACCCCGTACACCGGCCCTGCGTGGGTTCCGGGCCTCCTGGGTCCTGCGGCTGCTGGTTAGGGACATGTCCCGTGGAGTTGAATCTGGGAACAGAAAGGGCCTCCCTTCCCACAGAGTTCCTCTGAGACCTGCCGAGGGCTAGCAGCAAAGCTCTCAGTCCAGAATTCACAGACACTGAGTCTGTGTTCAGGCCTCTTCTGGGAGATTCTGTGGTCGAGGCCGACAAGCTCTGCCCCCTCACCAGGAGGGGGGCTCCAGGGTTTTTAGACCACATGTGCGATTTCCCTTCTCTCAAAGT